GGGGTCGGGGTGAATGGGGCACGCCTTGGAGGGGATTTAGATCGTGTTCCCAATCCCATTGGATTTTGTGCCCCTTTTTCCTGCATTCCCATCTCCTGGAGCTGCAGCCCCGGTGCCTGCCGGTTGCTGGTGCTTTGTCCGAGAGCCTGGAGCGCGGTGGCCGTGGCCAGGAGAGCCGTGGCCGTGACCCACTGACCACCCAAGCCAGGGCCAGCTTGCCCACCTGTGTGTCACGAGGGGCTGTGGCCAGGCCGCTGGTGGCTGCGTGTGCCACCTCTCCATCAGGGGAGCGAAGACGATGCCACATCTGTTTAATCCAGGGGAATTTGGTGCTGCAGAGAGGTGGCCGAGCAGGAAGGCTCAGCTTGGAGGATACCACCCATGTCTCCAGGTTGGAGTGGGGCTGGATCCCAAAACCTCTGTGTCTTGGTTGTGGCTGGGACTTTTGGGGTCACGGCCATTTGCTACGTGTCCCCAGTTCTCTGTGTCCCCACTCCCTGCTCCCACGGGTATCATACTGGGGCCCACATCAGCCTCTGAAAGAACCATGCCCTGAAACCCCTTGGAGTGATTTGAATGTGAATTTTAATCCTGGCACTGGCCTTGTTCCTGTGTCACCGTCCCCTCTCGGGGTGCCAGAGCAGTGCTGGGTGTTTGGGTGTGCCAGCGCTCCGCCTCGTCCTGTGCAATTCCTGCTCTTTTAGTTTTCCTCCTTCTGTTCTCCCTTTGTGCCGAGATCACTCCCAGCCCTTCCCACCCCTCTTTTCCAGCCCGTTAAGCCGTGTTAGCAATTCCTCACCAGCCCAGGGCTGCGGCGAGTGGTTAATGGAGAGCAGACACCACCGGGCCGGCGTCGCTGACAGGATTCTCTCTCCGTGCCCGTCTCCGTCTCCGCCTGTCCCTTTCCAGGGACCGCAATTACATTCCCTGCTGGTTGCACATTTGGTATCCAAATGCCGGCCATGCGCCGCATCCTAATGCGAGGATGGGCTGGGGGCGTGCGGAGCTGCCGGAGGGTCATCGGTCCCCAGGACCCCCCCTGGATCCTGGGGTGTCCTGGTGGGAAGGGGCATGCACCAGGTGGGCAGTGGGAACAGTCCAGGGGGTGAGAGATGCCCTCAGGTAGCTTGGAAAGTGCTGCTGTATAAAGAAAGACATTTATTTATATACGTATAGATTTATATGTATTTACATACAAATATATTTATATCTGTTATATAAATTAGGAATTTATTTACATATGTGGGTGTTTATTCACCCACCCTCCCCTCACATAAACACACTTTACACACACAGATAATCCAATGCCAAAAACGCCCCTGTCTGGCGATGCTGTGCCACCCCTGTGTGACATTCCCCTGGAATTCCTACCTGGGGGCTCCAGGATGTACCTGGCTGTGGGTTTACCTGGCTCCAGGCACAGCGCTGTCCGGCTGTGTCCATCCCAGTGCCACATCAGGAGCCGGCTGGAGCGTACCTGCCTGTGCCTGACAAGGTTCAGCTGCTGGGTTGGCTGGAAAATTGCAGCAATTGTTCCTTAAATAGCTCCTCATTCCTGATGGTGACAATTTCGGTTCTTTTGTGTTAGATATTAATCATGATTTCTGCGGCTCCGTTTTGATCCGAGCTGGTTTTCCCCACTTGGGGCAGAGATCCTGCCCCGCTTCGTTGGATTTAATGGGATTTATGGAAGGTGAGCAGCTCGGAGTGCTGTTACCTGCAGCCCCTAAGAGGTGTTTAAATTCCTTTTCCCTCTTTGCCATGACCCGATGCTCATCCCGATGTCCGGCCGCTTCCCTCTGCTTGGAGATCCATCCCAAAACCAGGACCAGGCCCTGTTTGGTCTCTGCAAGTGCAGGGGAAGCACCAAAGGTCCAGGCTGGATCATTGCCTGGAATCAATGATCTTGGAGCTCTTTCCCAACCCAGATGATTCCATGATTCTCCAGAGCTGGAGAAACGTTGGGGTGAGCCAGTGGCCGCTTTGGCCTTTGCCAGATGAATTCCAGAGGCATTTTTGAAGCCCCATGCCAAGCCAGGGCTATGTTTAGGGATGTCTGTGGGTCCAGACTCTTTGCCACCAGCCCTTCTGGATTTGGGGATCCCATGGCTGTTCCCAGAGGCTGGCTGGGAGCAGTGTCAGGGACACGGTGCCCATGGGGTTTTTTTGGGTGCGGGATGCGCCAGGGCTGGTTTGATCCCGGCAGGAAAAGCGGGAAGGGACGAAGCTGAGAGCAGGGCAGTGGGACGGAGCCGTGTCCCTGCTCCATCCTGGCTTGTTCCCGGGTGGTCACAGTGTTGTTATTTATTTATTTCTCCTCCCTCGCTCCCCCTTGGCTTGTTGCTGCCGCTGTGCCTGGGCTGCTAAAGAGCTTCCCATTGTTCCGGAGCTAATTACCTCCTAATGAGGCTCCCGGCTCAAAAGCCGAGCGGAGCGGGGGCTGTGGGGGGATGTGAGGGGGCTGTGCTGGGAGGGGGTGAGGGCAGGGCTGGGGTCAGCAGCGGGGTCAGCAGCGGGGTCACCCGATGGCTTCAGCTGCGCTGCCCGGCCGTGTGAACCGGGCTTGGCGGTGGGGAGATCCATGGAGCTGCCAGCCTGGAGCTTCATCCTAAAGGGCGGCTGGGAAGTGGTTTTGCCAAAATTATCTTGTTGAGCCCCAAACCCGTGGAGAAATCAAAGCCCTGTGGATTTTGGCGAGGCGGGGCTGGTGCTTGGAGTCCGGGAGCATTCCCGGTGTTTTCCTTGGTGTGACCCCTCCCTGCCAGCCCCGTCTGGGACAGGAGTCACCTTTAGGGCGCATCCTTCATTTTGGAAGGGGTGCTCAAACTAGGGGTCCTCAAAGCTTATCCCCTTGTGCTGGACAAATCCTGCTCCACTTCTCTCTTGGCCTTATCCCGTTCTAACCTTATCCCATCACTCGGCAAGAGACGGGGATGAGCCCTGATCCCGATGGGATTCACCGCTTTGGCTGGAGGGAGCCAGGCAGTGTCCAGGAGTGTCCTTGTCCCTGCTGGGATGCGGAGCAGAACTTTGGGCTCTCCATCCCAGATCCTGCTCTGCCCCTGGAATATTCCCCTCATCCCTCGGGGTTGCAGATGTGATGGGGGAAAAGAGGATCCTTCTCCAAAGGGGTTGGGAAAGCCCCCACCTCCGCCCCGCTCCGATTGAAGCCGGGCTCTGTGCCCCCGCACGGGGTGGGGGGTCCTGAACTTCAGAGGGGGATGAGGCGCTCAAAGCAACACCAGTGGGGGAAAATATTCCAAGGGAGGGAAATTTACTCCCTGGAATAATAATGAAGGTGGGGGAATGAGTTCCCCGTGCCCTTGATGAGGGGTGCCCAAGGCAGTGAGGGGTCCAGGGTGAGCCCTTCCAAGGGGATGGAGGTGCTGGCAGTTTTAGGATCAGCCCATCTGGCCCAGCTTGCTCGTGGATCCATCTCCAGCTGCGGCACAAAGCCCGGGATCGATGGCGCTCGGCTCTGGCGAAACCAGTCAGCGCCGGGGCAGCGAGATCCGCGCTCCCATTCCGAGCCCCGCTCGCATCCATTCGACATTTTCCTTTCGGTCATTAATGAAGGGAGAGGCATGCAGAAACGGGGATTTAGCCTATTTTTTTTTTTTTTATTTCCTCCCCTGTTAAATTTTTTTCCCCTCTTCCCGTGTTTGCTTCCCAAAGCTCGGCGGAGCAGCGAGCGATGCCGCTGCCGGGAGAGGAACAGCCACGGGGCCCAGCCATGTCCTGGTGGGGCTGTGCCATGGTGGGATCCCGTGGGATACACCTGGGCCGTGGTGGTGGGATCCTTTGGGATACACCTTTGCCGTGGTGGGATCCCATGGGATAAACTCATGACCTGGTGGGATCCTGTGGGATACATCCCTACGCTCCCTCAGCACATCACCTCCTCCTGACCTCCCAGTTTTCCGCTTTCCTTGTTTCCAGCTGCTCTGGCCCTGTTTTGTGGGATTTTCCCGTTTTCCCTGCAGCTGTGACATCCGTGTGTCCATGAAAACGTTGGAGCTGCCCGTGCCAGGTCGGTTCCATTAAACACCATCCCAGTGCTAGACCCGGAGCCGCCGCTCCCTGTGGATACCGGTACCGGTATTCCCACCACGGTATTCCCAGCATGGTATTCCCACCATGGAATTCCCACCACAATATTCCCACCATGGAATTCCCACCACAATATTCCCACCACAATATTCCCACCACAATATTCCCACCACAATATTCCCACCACAATATTCCCACCACTGTATTCCCACCACAATATTCCCACCATGGTATTCCCACCACCGGTATTCCCACCACAATATTCCCACCACGGTATTCCCACCACAATATTCCCACCACAATATTCCCACCACAATATTCCCACCATGGTATTCCCACCACAATATTCCCACCACTGTATTCCCACCACGGTATTCCCACCGCGCTGCCGAAGCATTGCCAGGATCCGCAGAGTTTTACACCATCTCTCAATACCTTTTTTTTGTTTGACTCCTGGAATGGACTTTTTATTTCAGCTCCTTCCCCACCAGCCCTGAAATTCCCCAGGAATCCAAGTCTGGATTTTGGATCTTTTGTGCCAAACCCAAGCCTCTTTCGTTTTCGATTCCCAGCGCCGCCGACTTTGGGGAAAAAAGGGGAATAAATGGCAATGAGGGTTTGTAATGGCTGGGAATGGGGAAGCCCCATTCTATCCCCAGCTTCCTCCTCCCAATCACCTCCTCCATCTATTTCCTTGGCGTTCCGCTGAATTTCCCTGGAAATATTTTGCCGTTTCCCCCAGTGCAACCAAGTTTTGTCGGATTTTTCTTTTCCCCCTGCAGAAGAGGAGGAATTATCCGTCTCGGTTTATTTTTCCTTGAACATTACACGGGAGCAAAACTCACCCATGTGCTGGGAAAGAGATAAAGTGTTTAGACAGCAAATACAAATATTCCAGAGCACTCAGCCCAGCTACAGCTATTCCTGCCAGGATTCCGGATTCCGTGCCGTGTCTTCCAGGGGAGTTTTATTTAGACTGTCTTATTTTTTTTTATTATTATTTATCAAAAACCCTATTTATATTTGCAGTAAAATAAAATCAGCCTGACCCTGTAGAGAACTCAAAAAATCCCAATTCTTTCCTTTTCCAATCCTGTTTCCACTGAGGAAAAAAAGCCCCTGGACCTCGTGCCCTGCACAAAATCCAACCGCGACAGGATTATTTCGGCGGCTGAGCTTCTCCACAGGCGCTGGGACGGCGCTGGCTCCGTGTGTCCCCCCTAAAATCGGGATGCAGGGAAGCTCCTGCACGGCTGGGGATGGAGCTGGGGCCCTTGGGGTCTTCCCATGGGATTTTGGGAATTTTCCAATTTCCCATGGGATTTTGGGGGCACGGTCTCCCTTTTGCCGCAGGTTCCGACTGCGCCTGGAGCACTCAGAAAGGGGGCTATTATTTTGATTTTATTTTAATATTCAATGATGGATGGGATTCCGCTGCTCCTCGGGAGCATCCCAGTCTCCCGTCAACGTCCCAGCCCCGCTGGGGACCCTGCGGGTGTCATTGTCACCCCGGTGCCGGGCGCTGGTGCCATCAGGAGCTGAGGAAGCTCTTTCCCAGCCAGCTCGATAATCCCAATTATTATCTGGATTCTCGATCAGGGTTGCTTATTAAACTTGGCACCGCTGGCTTTGCCGTTCCGGCCGCCTGCCTCGGCAGAGGGATTTATCTCCTGCCGACGCGGGAAGGAAATTGAGTGGAAAAACGCGGGGCAGAGCCCCCCGGGACGGCGGGGGGGGCCGGGGGTACCCGGCTTCCGAAGGGTTTGGAGATGCTGGCACAGCCCCAGCGCTGGAGCTGCCCGGGCCGTGTCCGTGTGTCCGTTCCCATCCCTCCATCCCCACCCTGTTCTGGGATGGGCGTTTTCATTCCAAGGTTATTTTGGAATGGTCGGTGCTTTCACACAATAAAACTAGCCGTTATTTTCCCTTTTCCCTGAAATCTAAAGGAGCTTTTGTCAGGCCCTCTCCCCCTTCACCTCAGGAATATCAGCTTTTTCCCAATCCTGGCCTTTCCGCTGGAATTCCCAGCTTCCCATCCCACAAACCTTCTTGGTTTGCTCGCTGACCCCTTCTTATCACGTTGTGTCCACAAATTGTGTTTTATCTTTACCTGACACTGCGCTGGAGCTGCCCGAGCCAGGGCCGATGTTCCGACCCTTCAAAGGGGCTTTTCCCAAATTTCACCCAATTCCCAGCACCGACCGAGCAGAGCATCCGGGGGAGGGGGGCGGGAGGTGGGAGAGATGCTACTGGGAAAAGATGCTCTCCCAGAGGGTTTCCCTCCCTCCTGGTGTTTGGATGTTTCAATTTTCCCCTTGCTCTGCTCCGCTTTTTCCTGCCTTTTCCACCATTTCTCTGCATTTTAAAAGACCCGTACAAACCCTGTAACTGGAATTTCCTCTCTTTGTGTGTCTGGCCGCTCTCTCACCCCTGGGTGAGCTCCTGGGATCCCCATTTTAGGGTGGGGGCTCTCCCCTGTCCCCTCCCCGTGCTGCTGCCGGGGGATTCGGGTGAGGAATGGGTCGGCTCAAAAATCCTTTATTTGGGAAATAAATGCTCGCGCTCCAGGGCTTGGAGTCCATCTCGGCCACACTCTAGGCTCTCTCCTGGGCTTTTTCAAGATCCTTCATGTTGGGTGGTTGGGAGAACCTGCTGGCTCTGGCTGAGGGACTCGGGATGGAGCCACCACCCTGCCGGGCTGTGCCTGTGAGTTCCCAGTGACCGTCCCGTTGTTGTAGAACCGCCATCGGATACGGCGCTGGCACACGGGAATTCTGGCTGTAAATGCTGGTCAAAATGGTGTTCCTGTGTGATTTCCAACGGAGGACCCAAGCCTGGCTGGAGCAGAAATGGCTTCTGGCTCCAGGTTCTGTCCACGTCTCCGTTGGATCACCACGGGCTTGCGGGGATTGGTTTGGCTGGAGCCGCGTGGGTGCTGAGTCCTGTGGAAAACCAGGATCATGGCCCTGCCACGGCCCTGGCATTGCTCCTGACCCTTTGAGGTGGGATTTAAGGCTAAATTGGCAGAGCTGGAAGCAGGTTTGGGAACAGGGATTGCCTTTGCAGGATGTGTGCTGCGGAGGCAGCGTCCAGTGCCGGCCTTCCTAACGCTCATTGCCGCGAGTGTCCTTCAGTCGGAGCAGCTCCCGGCCTTCCCTCCCTGCTCTTCCTGGCATTCCCAGCTTTCCCCTCTCCGTGATGGTTCCTGGGGTCAGTGGATCTCAGTTCCAGCCACCCAACAGCTGCCTCTCCCGGCTCATCCCATCGCCATCTGCAGTTTTCCATTGTTCCTTGGCTCTTCCCGGCGTTGGGATGTGGAGCGCTGGCAGTGAGGGAATGTCCGGGGCTCAATGTCGCAGCCCGGATCTGGACTCCAGGAAAATCTGGACTCCATTTCAAAGCTGATTAATGAGAATCATAAATCATAATGTTGTCTTTTATGATAGAAAGCTTTGGATGGGGAGCAGGGACTCTCATCCTGGAAGCTGGGGGTGATCCTGGATCTGGCTTCCAGCTCATTACCCGGAGACAAATGGCTTCTCCCTCCCCCAGCCTCAGTTTCTCTGTGGGTAAGGTGAGGATCGCTGCCAGCGGCTAAATTAGGGAATTAGTGTTGGTGGAGTGATTGAGAGATGGAGAAGGACGTGGCTCTCACAGCACCATGTCCCACTGCACGGCGCGCCCGCCCGCTCCGGAGCCCCATGTGGGAATTCCAGCTGGGAGCAGGGATTGGGATGCCCACAGTGAAGTCCCTTGTTTCTGTCCAGAGGGCACCATGAGGAGGGACTGGAGCCCTCCAGCTCCTTCCACACTGGTTTGGGATCTGTGTGGGCTCAGATCCGTGGCTGATTCTGGTGTGCATCCCGCATCCAGCTGGTTTGGCAGCGCCGGAGCCCAATTCAACCCGGCCTCTTCCCGGCGTGTCCCTCGCTGCCCCAAAATCCCTGTGTCACCAAGACCCCGCTCCCACGGGAGGGGAATCCAGCTGGATGGATTTTTGTGACTTTCTTATATTTTTCCTTAAATGCTGTAATATTTATTCCACTTTATAAATCACTTCCTTGCTCCGGGTGGAGGGAGGATTTATGGGCACAGGTGGGAGGAACGCGGCTCTCGGGACCGACCTGCTGGAATGGTTTTGTGGTGATGGTCACAGCAGCAATTCCGGCCAGGGGAGAGGGCTCCAGCTGGGAATCCTGCCTGGGATGTGATGGGAGCAGGGATGGACCCATCTGGGATGGTCTGAGGTTGGCACATCTCTGGTGCCACTCAGGGTTTTCTCCATGCTGGAAAGGTTGGACCTCAAACCATTTTCTGCTGAGGGACAACCAGAAAAGGGGTTCCAAAGCCTTTTCCAAAGCCTTGCTTTCCCACTGCAGCCATCAGTGTCACGCTGGGGCCATGGGAATGTCACTGGGGACGCGGGAATGTCGATAGGAGGTTGCTGATGACGGAGACCCCAGGGTGAGGGGGCCGGGGGGTGTTGGGGTGTGTGGTGAGGGTGTGGATGCTCAGCCCTGGGGACACCCAGCCAGGTCTCTCCCTGCTCCCCGGGGGCCAGGCCAGCTCCACAGGGAATTTTCCCTGCACCGGCGCTGCCCGCAGCAGCACAAACGAACCAAGTAATTGGCAACATGGAAATATTTTGTGCTCATTAAGCAGTGGGAAGCGGCGGGCGAGGCAGTGGCGGGTGAGGAAGCCGGGTGCTGTGGCGGGGTTCTGGCGGTGCTGTGTTCTCCAGTGACACTCCCGATGACCCAGGGCAGGGAGCACGGAGTGGGAGCACCCTGGGATGGGGGGCTGGAGGTGGGAAGGAGGTGAAGGAGCCAGATCCTGACGCTGCCCAGCCGGGGGCTCCACGTGTTGGGGACAAGGACAAACCAGGGGAGCAGGGGGATCCTGCCTGCTGTACGGGGACATTTGCGGGACCCCCCCATTTCTCCCAATTCCCATCAATCCCACGGATTAAAACGTGAAGCA